TTAAAGGGGTCATAGGATGCTACATGCACTTTTACAAGTTGTTTGAACTGAAATGTGTGTTGGCAGTGTGTATACACAACCACCCTATAATGATAAATATCCACTCTGTGTTTTTTTTTTTAATCTCGTTAAATAATTTCCCCTTTTTTCGTATCAAGCCATTCTCAGATGCCTGTCTGTGTGATGTCACACAACACATCTGAGCCACTGAAGTAAACAGTCTCATGAGAACGGCTTCCCCACGGAAGAGAGGGGCGGGGTGAGCAGAGCTCATTAGCATTTAAAGGAACATGGACTAAAACGGCTTGCTGAAAACAGAGCTGATTTTGACAGGGTAAAAAGGGTGTTGTTTTACACTACCACTGAGAAATTTTAACCAAAGTATTTTATAGACTTTTCATTAAGACCCTAAAGAATCATATCAACTTGTGGAAAATGGGCATCGAGCCATACTCTTAGCTTGCTAACCACAAGCAAATGGAAATGTTTAGATCTGCAACACATAAAAGTTATCATTGAACATTTTTATGTTTTAGACAAATTTTAGGACAAAATATATTGAAATATATTAAAAAATATTATAACATAAACATATTTACACTCACAAAGGCTGCATTTATTTGATAAAAAATACAGTAAAACAGTACTATTCTGAAATATTATTATTACAATTTAAAATAACTTTTCTATTTAAGTATATTTTGAAATGTAATTTAAAAATGGGATGGGAAAGCAGATTTTTTTCAGCAGCCATTACTTCAGTCTTCAGTGTCACATGATCCTTCAGAAAGCATTCTAACGTTGATTTGATGCTCAAGAAACATTTCTAATTATTATCAATGTTCAAAACAATTGTGCTGCTTTAATATTTTTGTAAAAAATTTTTTTTGTTTGTTTAGGATTCTTTGATGAATATTAATTTAAAAAAACAGCATTTATTTAAAATGGAAAACTTTTGTAACAATATAAATGTCTTTACTGTCACTTTCAGTAAAGACATCAGTTTAATGCATCCTTGCCCTAGTATTAATTTCTTTAATATATTATAATGAATGGAGTAGCTAAAGTAACAGGCAACATAATTGCTTTGGAGTCCAAAGGAGATTTTTGCAAGGGGAAGGCTTTGGCATGCCACCAGGTCCACAATCACAGTGCCTAACACTATTCCAGAGCTACAGAATCCTGTTGTTGAATCCCGCAAATACTGGGCAGAATATAATCCTATTAAAGTGGCAGAACGAGCTCCATCACAAAATGGTTTTATGCACAGAGTCTTAGACCAGCCAAATTCATCAAATGCAACTGAATCTATTTATATTTAAATCAATTAACTTAAGCTATCAGTGAAGGGCTCCTGGAAAAGCCTCAAAGCTAATTCATAAATGTGTTTGGTTGACACACAGAAGCAGAGAGCCATTATCCAGCGGTGTACTTTTGCCTGCTGAGACCCCAATATACGGTGACATTTCTGAAGGCACACAAATTCATCATATCATGTCGCTTTGAAAGACGGAAACTCTCAGGCATTAACATAATATTTGCATAATTCTTACTTGAATAATCACCTAATAAAACAATGAATTGCTTCTAGGTGAAGATTAAGCCTCTTAAGAGCAACAACAGGTCCTTCAAAGTGATGCTTTGCCTGTACATAAATATGAATGAACAATGAAAGACAATAGATGTTGAATTAAAACTTGGATTGACATTAATTAGGAACTGTACCTGAGGCACCCGGTAGCATTGCGGAGCACCTGTGAGGAATGCAGGTGCAGCTTGCGGTCGTCCTGGTGGGGCGAGGTGTCCCAGCCCGAGTGAGGAATAATGACTGTGTTGGTCAGCACTGCCAGAGCATCCTGAATTATGGGCATCTTCAGAGCATCGCACGAGGACAAGTTCCACAGCACACCTGTACACAAGAACATCATCTATGAACCAAAAAATGTCTGATCCAGTGAAGAATACACACAATGTATTTATAGACTACAAGTTTTTGTTGTGCAGAAAAATATATAATTAAAAACACTGATTACAGCAGGCTACAAACATGCTTTTGAATATTTCATGAGGTCTTGGTCAAGAGCCCTCAAATGAAACACTTTCAAAAGTTTCACTAGTGTGTCCTCATCAGCTCTTAGTATGAATGTTTGAGGGTGTGATCCAAGCCACATCACAATCAAGAATGAACTGTGAACTGCTAGAAAGTAGCATGCAGTTGAACTGTGGCTCATTTTGCATGCTATTAAAAGTAGTATGTTATAAATATTTAATCTCTTTCATGAGACCCCTACAGCTCTGATTCAGTGAACAAGGGAGCGCTTTTGTATGTTCCTCCTCCCTGCTGCTAGCAGAGTATAAAGCTCTGTCCCAGCTAATTGCATCTCATCTTGTTTGTTAAATATCACAGACTTACAGTCCTAAACAGTATGGTGCACCCCACATTATACAGTAGTATGATTACAATAGTATGTCAAAAGTAAGATATGTTTTTTTATAAATTATTTTTTCATTCAGCAATAATGGATTAAATTTATCAACAAAAAAAAAAGACTTTTATAATGTTACACAATTATAAATATGTAACATTTTAAATAATTGCTGCTCTTTTGAACTTCTGAAAAAAAAAAAGAAATACACCCACACACACACCATATCATCCACAAAAATATGATGCAGAACAGTTGTTTTCAATATTGATTATAATAAGAAATGTTTCCTGAGCACCAAATCAGCATATTAGAAAGATTTCTGAAGGATCATGTGATATTATTTAATAATATTACATTTCTTACTGTATTTTGATCAAACAAGAGACTTTCAAAAACATCAAAAACTGACCCTAAATTTTTGGTAGTGTATGTTTGTTCGAAAATGTTCACTTCTGTGTTATAACAAACAGCTTCCCAAAATAGTGCACAAAATTTAGACCAGTGAAACCAAAATCCTAAAAATAGTATCCCAAATGGCAGAGCACATACATACTTCATTTTTTGTCCAAAAGAGGAGTTTTTTCCGTAACGTTTTTTTTTTCAGTTACAGAAATATGTCAAGAAAAACAAGTTCGAAGCTGCCACAGTACTAACAAATTTATCTAAATGCTAGCACACACAAGCAAGCTCAAACCGTATTAAATGGTACTCAACAGTATAAAAAGGTGATGATAGTGCATCTGAATAGTCTAAATGCATCTAATGTTGTTGCTACGTATTCAAAAGTATATACTTTTGCATTAACAGTGAAGTACATACTTTTATTACACAGTAGAAGTATTCAAATTGGAAAACAGTCTATGGATGCTTGCCTGTCATTTGTTTGGTACCCTCCACTGATGCGAGTTTGCCGTGTGGCATCACCCACAACGCTCATATGGGACACTATAATCGTCTTTTTATGAGTCAGTAATGGCAAGAAACATCTTCCTTACAAATGTTTCTCAATTCAGCTCCTGGGGGCTAATTTTTGGATGTCTCACTGCCATTTAGGTCATGGAGGACCTTACTAATGAGATGATGTGCTAAATCCAAGGGCTCTAGGTTTGGCTGGTTAGCATTGCCCTGTCAGCCCCTACTGGTAGATGCTATAACTACACCATCTGGTTCTAAAAAGCATCTTTCACCATTGACAGCCATTCAAAATTGGCAATGCATAGCCAAGCAGCATATATATATCGCTAACATTTTTCATTACATTTAATTTCATGGACTCACTGCAGTGTACAAGGGAGCACGTTTGTAGGTCCTTCCTCTGTGCTGCTAGCAGGGTGTACAGCTGTCTGTACTCCAGCCAATTTAATCTTATTTTATCCTATCCAATCTTGTTTGTTAAACATCAAAGACTTCCTGTTTTTATGCAACCACCTGCAGAACGTTCTGAAGAGTTCTGAGCTCAAATTCAGGCCCCAGCAGGCAAAACAGGCTTGTGTCTGGCTTCAGCAATCGGCCGGCGACTGGGGTCTGCGGAGATGTTGCATGAGGAGGGTTTGTCATGGACTGACGAGAGGACACTTTGTCTCCTAATTTGAACCACTCTCTAATTTACATTTGAATTGTCTTTGAAAAACCATAAATGGCTTCTCGCCTCTTTCCAAATGTTGCAGCTAAAGTGAGTACAAGCAGAGACATGGAGCTGTAATAAGCACATGCCACTCAACTTCACTATATTCAATTTGAAACATTTTTGATGTTTCTCCGAGCTCTGGATTCAGAAGGATGGTGATTTTTCAATTGATGGACATTTAGATTGCTCACTAGGCTGAAACACAAGGGAGCTGCAGCATCCTATTGAAGTGTCTCCCAACAATTCAGCATCTGACGTTTATGAAATGCCTCAAAAAGCAAATTGCCACCCAATTTTTTTGACATCTCTCAGGAACCGTCTCAGTACCAGAAATATTTCTATAGTGGATTGAGAAGAGCCTTTGTCTTTTGTCAAAGTGTCAAGACTCATTATACACAAGTCCCTAAAGAGGCTACGCCAAGCACTGGTATTATCCTTAATTATTATAGCCCTAACCAATTAGGAGATCATTAACAAATCATTTAATGGGTAGTGGGGTCTACAGTAACAAGCTGATGATTCTAGGAGAGCTGATTAACAAATTGTGCCCAATTATATAGAAGCCAGAGATAGTGACAGAAAGGTCACATACAATGTATTTGTATGCTGAACTTGCAAAAATGGTGGTGGGAAGTGAAATAAAGATACAGCACATTCAAAGAGGTGGGGCAGATACTGCGTCCTAATCAGCCGCGACATGGTTGGTTCACTTTTTTTTTGTTAATTTCTACTGTGAAATCTCACTGGTCCAACATCCCTTTCCATATAACTACATACTATAAGTGAAATATTGTGCCCTTCAAGTGGAAATATCGTAATTACAAGGTATGAGCATATGAATGACCAAGCAAAGTCATATTTACAAGTGGGAAACTTTGAATTCTAAATAATGCACCAAGTTGTGACTTTGGGAGCGTGACGATTTAAAACACCGATCTATAATATAGACAATATATAATATAATATAATATAATATAATACACTTAAAATCTATATATACAGATCTGTGAGCATAAAATGCTCTGGTTACTGACGTAACCTCGGTTCCCTGAGATAAGGGAATGAGCGTTGTGTATGGGGTAAACTCCTGTTTACTCAGTTACTGAAGCCTGATTTGTTCACATTTGTGTAGCTGCACAAACCAATGGCGCTTTAGCCCGCCAGAAAGGGTGGATCCAACATGTATATAAGTCGGCTCGCAGCGCCATTTCATCAGAATCATTCAACTAAAGCGACAGTTATCGATTCGCGTGCACCTAATAGCACGGCAAGTGACACAAAGCTCATTCCCTTATCTCAGGGAACCGAGGTTACGTCAGTAACCGGAACGTTCCCTTTCGAACGTTCACTTCACGTTGTGTATGGGGAACAAATCCAATCATGCCGTGCTATGAGCAGAAGCAGACTAAGCCGCTCTGCGAGCCCAGTTCTGGAGAACTTAAGTTAAGGGCACCTAGAGAACATGAGCCAACTGAGTCCTGAGCATAGCTGAGGACTTTTGGACATAGCTATTTCCACCGTAGGGAGAAATAAGTAGTTTAAGCAGTTTAATCCGATAAAAATCCATACCAGCCGGCGGCCACACATATCTCACTAAAAGATATTCCACTGGACCAAGCCCAGGAGGAGGCCATCCCTCTAGTGGAGTGGGCCCTCACACCTATGGGGCATTGCAAACCTTCTGAGGCATAATCCAAGGCTATAGCATCAATTATCCAGTGGGACAGTCTTTGCTTTGTAACCGGCAGCCCCTTAGAGCAGCCTCCAAAGCAAACGAAAAGCTGCTCCAACTGTCTGAACAGGCTGGAGCGTTCAAGATATATTCTCAGGGCACTGACAGGGCAGAGAACATTAGGACCCTGCTCACCATCTACAGCGGGGAGTACCAGAAGGGTAATAACCTGGGCTCTGAACGGAGTTGAGAGCACCGTCGGAACGTATCCATGTCTAGGCTTGAGGACAACTTTACAGTCTCTAGGCCCAAACTCCAGACAGGAAGCACTGATTAACAGTGCTTGTAAGTCACCCACTTGCTTGATCGATGCTAGTGCCAGTAGCAGGGCGGTTTTCAGCGACAAAGGGCGTAGTTCGGCTCGAAGGGAGGACCCCGTAGGGCCCCAAGGACTATTAACAAGTCCCAGATCGGTACAGTCTGAGGACGAGGAGGATTTAATCTCCGGGTGCCCTTTAAGAACTTAGCGATCAGATCATTTTGCCAATCAAATGGCCAGCTTCGAGGGAATGATTCGCTGCGATAGCTGCCATGTAAATTTTGAGTGTGGAAGGGACGCGCCCATTGTCCAGCAACTCTTGTAGAAAGGATAGCACGTGGGACACGTCACAAGATACTGGGTCCAGGCTTTGCGCAGTACACCAGTCACGAAAGACTGACCACTTGAGGGCGTAAAGGCGTCTTGTAGACGGTGCTCTAGCCTCTAAAATGGTATCATTCACTCTCGCTGGGAGCTGCGTAGGCTCCCGTTGAGGCTCCATACATGAAGGCTCCACAGCTCTGGCCAGGGATGCCAAATCATGCCTTTTGCCTGCGAGAGAAATCTCGCCTCAGTGGTATCGGGGCTGCTACTGAGAGCTGCACTAACTCGGGGAATCAAGCCTGGTTCCTCCGGAGTGGGGCCACCAAGAGAACTGAGCATTTTGTCTCCCTGACCCGTTTGATGACCTGAGGAAGCAGGGCTATCGGGGGGAAGGCGTACAGGCGAGTACTGGGCCAATCATGGGCCAGAGCATCTCGCTGTATCGAGAAATAAGTTGGGCAGTGAGAGCTGACAGGAAGGTTTTCAGGGCAAGAAAAACTACTAGGCGCTCTAGACAGTTTATATGCAGGCACTGTTCCGGGGCTGACCAGGAGCCGAACGCCAGATTGCCCTCCAGCAGAGCTCCCCAACCTGAATTGGAAGCATCTGTCGTAACCACCTTCCTCTTGGAGGTCAGTCCCAACCGTACGCCTGACTGAAACAGGCGTGAAGATGTCCAAGGGGCCACAGCTTTGATACAGCGATGGTTTACCTTGATATAAAAGCGGCCCAGGTGCCAAGTATGGGACGGAACTCTGGCATTGAGCCAAAATTTGGAGAGGCTGCATGTGAAGCAGGCCCAAGGGAATCGCAGAGGAGGCAGCCACCATGAGGCCAAGCAGCCTCTGGAAAACCCTGAGGGGACGTTCCCAGACTAATTCCCGTTCTGATCTGGCCAGGATCAGCTAGTCGTCGAGGTAGTTGAGTATGTGGATAAGAGATTTCTGAGAAGCGCTGTGCAAACCCATCCACAGCGGGGCCAAAGAGGCCCTTCGGCGTGACCGGAGAATCAAGGAAGGCCATCTTCTCAGCGTCCCTTATTTCAGCGAGGTTCACCACCAGGCTGGTCATGGTCTTGCCGATAGCCTGAGCTGTGGCTTTCGTAGCGCGCAGAGCCAGATCAGTCACTGTGCGCAGCTTTTTGAAAGCATTCTGATGTTGGCCAGACTCGTCCATATCACGGAGAAGTTTGGTCTGAAACACTTGTAGGACTGCCACCGTATGCAGCGTCGATCCGGCCTGACCGGCCGTTGCATACGCCCTGTTGGCCAGAGCCGAAGTGGTACTGCAGGGCTTCGAGGGATGTGCTGCGTGGGCCTTTATTCCCAGGGCGGACAGCGGACACAAGTGAGTCTCCTCCAGAGGGGGGAGCTTGCTATAGCCTTTTTCCTCAGCGCCATCAACGGTGGTGAGAGCTGCTAAAAAGGAGGAGCTAACTCAGGCCGAATAGGGGGCGCATCAGGTCTTGGTCAGTTCTTCGTGAACTGCAGGCAAGAAACTCCTGGCAGGAACCACTCGTCTAAAAGGCCATGAGCGGGATCATCTCGAATCCCAGATCCTCCACTGCCATGGAGAGAACACTGATCAGCTCAGTGTCCGGTTTCGGCCGCGATGGTTGGGAAGAAGGGCAGGATTCGGGCTCCTCACGGAAGCGCACCATTCTTCAGCATTGATCCTCTTGTGCAAAGCACACTGGCGCGACGAGGCTGAGCGGGGAGAGGGGGGCACACGGGCACTGGGCCGACGTGACACCACTCACACCCGTTGAGAGAGAGCCCCTGCTCCGCTGTTTCTTTCTCTTAGGAGAGAAAGGAAACAGGAGAGCAGAGCCGGAAGTACCGCCTTCAGTGAAGAAGGCGATGCGCGAGCGAAGACTGGACAAACTCATATTCTCGCAAAGAGAACATGAGCCATCAGCGAGCGCAGTCTCTACGTGGGCACTGCCCAGGCATTTGCAACAACGTGCGCTGGAAATTTGCTCTAATTTGCTCTTTTAGAAAGCGCTGGATGGCCGCAGGGGAGACTCGTCCTCTGCCAGGGGCTCTTTGATGGTGGAGAGTGGGTTGAGCTTCTTTCCGTCTTTCCGATTCTGATCAGATGGCGCTGCGAGCCGACTTATATACACGTCGGTTCCGCCATTTCTGGTGGGCTAAAGCGCCATTGGTTTGTGCAGCTACACAAACGTGAACAAATCAGGCTTCAGTAACAGAGTAAACAGGAGTTTACCCCATACACAATAGCAAATGGTGCAAAGTTAATCACTTAACTTTCATGGATTGTTTTATGTAACAAAAACATTCAGTTGTGAGATCTTAAATAATAGACTGAAATGAATAATTTTCATGAATTTAGATGCTGTTATTTTGGCTTATTGTTCACAATATAATTATTTTATTTAGTTTTATGTTTCTGACTTGAATGCATATCAAAATAACGCATGTCCGACTCAGCGGTATACATTTACCAGGTGCACTTGAAGGCAAAAGAAGTTTCAGCAGCATTTTCTCTTTCAGTGTGGACAAACAAATTACTTCTCACCAGTATCCCGTCACGCCAGAGAACAAAGGAGAAGGACTGAAACTGAATTAGAAATAAATGTGCTTAATGTGTCCTGAGCACCTGTGAGCAGTTCTCTGATCTCCACGTCTGTTGTCTTGCGCAGGAGCCGCACAAGTGCAGGGATCCCACCGCAGTTCTTCAGGGCGATCTTGTTGTCGTCGTTGGCCTTGCCGTAAACCAGGTTCCTGAGTGCGCCACAGGCGCTCCTGTGCACATCTGTCATACGGTGATCCAGCAAGTCCACCAGCAGCTGGATCCCACCCTGCCTCCGTATCTGATATTTATCAGGAATAATTTACATTTTAAAATATGTTAAACTAAAAAAGATTTATTTAAATTTGTAATAATATTACACAGTATTACAGTTTTTTCTGCATTCTGGATCAAATAAATGCAGCCATGGTGAGCATAAGAGATTCTTTCAAAAACATTTAAAAAATCTTGCAGTTGGCATCTGACTAGATTGGCAAGTTTCCACAAAGTGACAGATAAAGAGTTAAAGCATTTCCTCCTTTTTATTAAAAGTTAATAACCTATATATTTTGTTATCTTAATTATGTGGGATTATATGGTTAGCTCCACTTTATTTTTTGGGGGGGAAAAAACAGAGCTAAAATGACACCATACGAGCACTAAATAGGCTGAATCAGCAGATAAATTAAAATTAACCCGAAATAATGATCCTCACTGCAAGGCCTTATTAGTACATAGTCTATATATGCAGAATGTATGTGATGTTGGTATGCAGGAGTTACCTCTGATTTGATCTTGTTGTCTCCAAAGCACAAGTGCTGGAGGTAGGCGGCAGCGTTGGACTGTACCGATGGAAACTGGTGCTGCAGCATTTGGATGACCTCCGGCAGTTCAGGATCCCTCCAGCCAAATTCCCTGAAGAGGCACATATACACACAAAAGTGAACGTGGAGAAGCTTTGACCTAAAGAAACACTGTAACATTAAAAGAGCATGTTTGTGAAGGTGTCTATAATAACAGCATACACTACAAGCCAAAGGTTTTTGAACAGTAATATTATAATATTTTTTAAAGAAGTCTCTTTAGCTCACCAAGCCTGCATTTATTTGATCCAACGTACAGCAAAAACAGTACAATTTTTAAATATTTTACTATGTAAAATGACTGTTTTCTATGTGAATATATTTTAAAATGTAATTTATTCCTGTGATTTCAAAGCTGATTTTTTTAGCATCATTACTCCAGTCACATGATCCTTCAGAAATCATTGTAATATTCTGATTTGCTGCTCAAAAACATTTATTACTATTATTATGTTGAAAACAGCTGAGTGGATTTTTTTTTTTAGGTTTCTTTGATGAGCAGTAAGTTCAGAAGAACAGCCTTTATCTGAAATGGAAATCTTTTGTAACATTATAAATGTCTTTATCATCACTTTTGATCAATTTAAAGCATCCTTGCTAAATAAAAGTATTAATTTCTATAACCCCCCCCCCAAAAAAAGAAGAAAATATATATATTGACTATTGTATAGTGTATAATGTTACAAAAGCTTTTTATTTCAGATAAATGCTGATCTTTGGATATTTCTATTCATCAAAGAATCCTGAAGAAAATGTACTCAACTGTTTTAAATATTGATAATAATAATAAAAAATGTTTCTTGAACAGCAAATCAGCATATCAGAATGAGTTCTGAAGGATCATGTGACACTGACTGAAGACTGGAGTAATGATGCTGAAAATTTAGCTTTGATCACAGGAATAAATTACATTTTAAAATATTCAAATAGAAAAGCAGTTATTTTAAATAGTAAAAGAATATTTCACAAAATTACTGCTTTTGCTGTATTCATTATTGCTGTATTTGGATCAAATAAATGCAGGCTTAGTGAGCAGAAGAGACTTCTTTAAAAAACATTAAAAATCTTACTGTTCAAAAACTTTTGACTGGTAGTGTATTTCTTTTATATGGTGTGTAAACATTTTTAAATACATTCTCCTCTCTGAAGCTCTGAATGTTTTTCTTCGCAATTAATCAAACTGAATGCAACATACTCTAACTTTCTGCCAACATCTGTGATCTCCCACTGTTAAATGCACTACTTTTTCGCTTTTAAAATAGTAAAGTAGTACTAATTAACACAAACGAATGCCACTAAACAATGAAAACTAATTAACCTAAAAAAATTATGCATGACAGTGTTGGTAAGGATAAAAAAATAAAAAAATAATAATAATGTAGAAGAAACAAAGGTTTCAGTCACCACATGTCAGCAATCATTTTTAAATTCTGATTTTGATGCTTTCTGCAGAGGTACGTTAGATCTCAGCTAATGTATACAGACAATAACATCCTCCCAAAAATGTCGGCCTTATCACAGGTATCAGTGACAGCTGTGCTATTGCCTAGAGCAGTCCTAAGGTGCCTGGAACCCCACAGGAGAAGATCTGCATTTCCTAAACCCTTGGGTCCTGCGGCTCTATCGGTAGAATATCAGTACCAACACCGTGATTTTAAAAAGCAGAAGTAAATTCAACATACTATCCTGAAGTCTGCTGTGAAAACACAGACTAATTCCTGCTAAATGTAGGCAAGAGAGGAGAACATTGTGTTTGACATTCATGTCTTTCTCTCCCTCTCTCATTCTCAGACCACCAAACACTGTCACCGTCTACGCTACCACCATGTCAGAGGCTGTCAAACAAAAGGAATCGATTCAAATAAAAATATCCAATATGAAAGAAATGGGGTGGTAATGATAGACAGAGAGCACAAGGAAGGAGGGAAAAGAAAAAAGGAAAACTAAGACGTGGAGGCAGAGAGAAAATGCGATGCTAGCAAAAAAACAACTTGATGGACAAACATCTCTGGGTAAGAGGCACCATGGGAAACATCTATTGTAGAATGTCCCATTTCTCTCTAGCACTACCAGTAAACCTGAGAGGGCAATTGCGGTCAAGAAAAGAAGAATGGGATCCATTGGGAAAAGGTCAAAATGGAGATAATCCTGAAAGATGGGTACTTAGTTTTGACTTGCTGAATCTTTGTTGCTATTTATCATTGTTTAACCTTGAGAAATGAATGCTTGTTTAAATCACATCTCACTAAGCTGCTATGTTGAGGGCTTTGTTCACAAAACAGGGAACCAAATTCATTACAGAGAGTAGGAAATGCCCAGCAGCCCACAAAACGGCAAGGCAAACTCTCCAATGCATTGGATGCAATAACAGGAGGCTGTCATAAATCACAGGAGCGGGCTAATTGATATTGTTTGCGTTAATCAGTAATTAAAGCGTAACACAAAAATGGCTATAAAATGGATGACGTTTATATGGTAATCAACATGGCACTGTCACATAAGTCAACTCTAGGTTAATTAGTGTAAATAAATTTTTGACAGAAGCTCTAAAATGACTCTGTTAATTAACTAGTGCACTAAAGTGAAATTATTCACTCAATGTTTACCTCATGTAATTATAGACGGCAGTTAATCAGAATGCATTGCCCCAATGCTTTACCAGCTCCTGAGTTCATCAAGAAGTGACGTTTGTGTTTAGCAAAGCAAAAAGCTACAATAACATAATACAACCATAAGGAACCAACTATCTTGTGAATGTGATGCAACAGTTCAATAAACAATACAGTAAGTTAATGCTGTGTAACATTAGTGACAGTGTTATTTACTATGCATATTTTTGCTCTGTCAATCAAAAATAAAGTGAAGCCACTGCAGCATTTTCTGTCTCTGAGTCTCTGAGCCACACATAGTTTGTTTCAGAATGAATCACTGTTTTGAATGAATTGTTTGAGAGAATATTTCAATGATTCACTCATAAGGACAGTCTCAAACAAAAATTGTCATTCTTGATTCGATTGCGTTATTCACAATTTTTTAAGCGGGCCATTTTGGACTTGAATGTCAGCTGTTCTTAGTTATTTTAAAGGGGTCATGAACTGAGAAACCAAAATTCCCTTGATCTTTTGACATATAAGAGATCATTGTGCTATAAAATCACCCTGTAAGTTTCAGAACTCAAAACTTTCTTGTTAGTCTAAAAACAACTTATATTGAAGCCAGTCTGCCAAAACGACAGCTTGTGGAATGTACCACTCTATGACGTAATAGTTTGGCTAAACACTGCCTCTGCAGAAGAAGATCAATGCCTGCTTCTACATCGCTGCCTGTTTAGCCCTGCCCACCGATTCACGGACGTAGTGCAAATAACAAGAAGCAGACGCAGGTCTATGCAGAAACAAAATGATAAAGATGGCTCCGAAGACAACAAGATGCTTTACATTGCCTTCCTTCTGATCCCAACGTTAGGAAAGAGTGAATGAACTTCATTTTTAATAAAGTTCCAGACCACGTCAGTTAGAACTCGGTCCTTTTTTCACTTAATTTTACTGCAGATTCGTTTACAGACAAGGCACAATTACAACACAGGATTTTCAGAAAGCAGTTCATGACCCCTTTAATGATGAAAATCAGTCTGTTATGCTGCTTTATGTTGCAAATTGGTATCTGCTATCATACTGATTATCGTAAACAAACATATTGGCTTGTAGCGCACATAGTTTAATCATTCACTGCACTTTGTGAATCTTCTAGTTATTTACCTATTGAAAGTCGCATTCACGGAAAATAGCTTACTTCTGCAATTAAAAATAAGGTGGATACAAAATTTTGTACTTGTCTTTTTTTCCAGTTTCCATCTTTGAGCAAGTTGGATGTGTCATTGAAGATTCTTTATTAATGTAGAAAAGGAACAGGGAAAGTTCTTCAAGCATCAAGGTCACCAAAGAAGTGGACAGTCACAGTTGTGCTCTACAGCCATACATAACGCAGCATCACAGCACGAACGAATGCATACATACGTAATGAGGACTAAATGTGAAGTAATGATTTAAATGTGCATAGCAGGGCACTGAGATTTATTAGATATCTGCTGCTCTAAAAACCGACTATATAATTTATGATTAAAGTCAGAATAGTAATGGCACCCTGCTCGTCCTCGTTCGCATCATTAAACCTTAGCGCTGAATCATTCCCAGCAGGCCAGTCCTACAGGGACGCACACATATGCAGAGTGCAAGCTGCTGCAGCCTGGTGACGCTCCCTCCTCTCTGTCAGGTCTGTCACTGGCAGCCAAATCCTTAACCTCCCCACTACCACAATTAATGCCCGGGTGAGGCCACTCCCTCCAGCACAGCTCCAGTCACTGTGACAGGCCGCTGTAGCTGGGATGAACATACCATTAATCAACAAACATGAATAATCAAACGTCTGCTCAGAGCCCAGGCCTGCAAAAAATGTCATCCCTTGCCAAAGCCGGAGAGAAGGATTTGGCTGGGAAATGACTCATTCACGCTACAGAGAACAGAGAGCTCTTTCGTTATGTGCACGCTCAGACTTGTGATTTCACCCCTCGTGGTCTGATAGGGAGAGATGCTGTGGGTGGGTGGCTGGTCTACTAATAAACCATTTGTCCCTTAACCTTCACCTGCAGGATCCACCCCCTCATCAGCACAATTAAACTGAGGGTTGTCCTTCATTCTAACAGTCAGAAATGAGAGAGGCTCCGTTCCAAAACCTAGTATGCTGCCTACATAGGCAGTATTTCAAGGCATGCATGTAGACGGTTACAAAAAGACATTTGGAGGGGGGAGCTTGGGAAAGAAACTGAAGCCATTCTCCTCATTAGAAGTTAGTGCACCATTAGAATGATTTGGAAACTAATATTTTAAGGTAAAAACTTACATTGCTTTAAATTTAACGTGATTTTGACCAAATTGACCAACGCAAAGGCTTGTTTTTTTCATTCAGTGCATTGTTCAGTGAAAGAAAAATTATTCCAAAATGGCAGATGAGAAATTAAATAAACCTATATTTCATTCAATACTGAAAAATGCA